ACGAGACGAGTCGATCTAGCCCTGTCTGTCTGTCTGTCCGTCTGTCCGTCCGTATGAACACCTGGATCTCAGAGACTATAAGAGATAGAGACACCAAATTTTGCACAAATATGCGTTATGTGTGTATTCTATACGAGTTTGTTTTATTTTTTTGATTTTCCCCCCCACTTCCCCCCTATGGGGGTTTTCCCGATTTTCCATTCGTATAATCGCCTATATCTCGGAGACTATAAGACCTAGGAACACCAAATTTTAGTCCCAGATGCCTTATGTGAATACGCAGAAAATGTATATTTTGGAATTCCCCTCCCTCCCCCCTCTACCCCGCAAATCGTAACTCCCGTAATTCTTGGAATTTCGAACTAAAATTTTGGAAATACCCCCAGTTGGTTATTATGTGTCCGTATGCCAAATTTCATTATGATAGACCGATTTAACAAGAAGTTATAGCCATAAATATATTTGCTGATGCAGCGCTGCTGCAGCGCTGCTCAAGCGCTGCCCGCGGCTGTTGTTGATGTTGCTGTTTGGTTGACTGCGAAAATGCTTACACAGACATGAATTGATGCGCATAGGCATACATACACTCACACAGACGCAATTGCTATGTAAATGTGCAATTATACGTGAGTTCGAATACCGAGAGAGGTAAAATCGATCACATTTTATTTTTATTTTCTTAATTTTTTTATTTTCTATAATTATTGTAAACATATGTACAGAGTATTTCAAAGTCGGGACACCCGACTTTAGCTTTTTTACTTGTTTTTATTTCATTTAATTAATTAATGTAATTAATTAAATGTTTATACTCTGTACATGAAATGTACAAGAGTATATTAGGTTTGCGGGAGCTGAAAAATGTAACAGGCAGAAGGAGGCGTGGCAGACCCCACAAAGTATATATATTCTTGATCAGCATGACGAGACGAGTCGATCTAGCCCTGTCTGTCTGTCTGTCCGTCTGTCAGTCTGTCCGTCTGTCCGTCCGTATGAACACCTGGATCTCAGAGACTATAAGAGATAGAGACACCAAATTTTGCACAAAGATGCGTTATGTGTGTATTCTATACGAGTTTGTTTTATTTTTTTGATTTTCCCCCCCACTTCCCCCCTATGGGGGTTTTCCCGATTTTCCATTCGTATAATCGCCTATATCTCGGAGACTATAAGACCTAAGAACACCAAATTTTAGTCCCAGATGCCTTATGTGAATACGCAGAAAATGTATATTTTGGAATTTTCCTCCCTCCCCCCTCTACCCCGCAAATCGTAACTCCCGTAATTCTTGGAATTTCGAACTAAAATTTTGCAAATACCCCCAGTTAGTTATTATGTGTCCGTATGCCAAGTTTCACTATGATAGACCGATTTAACAAGAAGTTATAGCCATAAATATATTTGCTGCTGCAGCGCTGCTCAAGCGCTGCCCGCGGCTGTTGTTGATGTTGCTGTTTGGTTGACTGCGAAAATGCTTGCACAGACACGAATAGATGCGCATAGGCATACATACACTCACACAGACGCAATTGCTATGTAAATGTGCAATTATAAACCCTTTACGTGAGTTCGAATACCGAGAGAGGTAAAATCGATCAAATTTTTTTTTTATTTTCCTAATTTTTTTTATTTTCTATAATTATTGTAAACATATGTACAGAGTATTTCAAAGTCGGGACACCCGACTTTAACTTTTTTACTTGTTTTAATTAATAAATACATATATTTTTTTGGGGGGTGGAACAGGGTATTTAAGAGTTGAGGTCGCTCGACTTTACCATTTCTTTCTTGTTCTGACAGAGTTGCCTGCTGAAATCCTTATATCGGTGCCAAGAATATACAAGGTGCGTTCGAAAGTAAACAGGACTTTTTGAATCTAATGTAATTAATTAAATGTTTATACTCTGTACATGAAATGTACAAGAGTATATTAGGTTTGCGGGAGCTGAAAAATGTAACAGGCAGAAGGAGGCGTGGCAGACCCCACAAAGTATATATATTCTTGATCAGCATGACGAGACGAGTCGATCTAGCCCTGTCTGTCTGTCTGTCCGTCTGTCAGTCTGTCCGTCTGTCCGTCCGTATGAACACCTGGATCTCAGAGACTATAAGAGATAGAGACACCAAATTTTGCACAAAGATGCGTTATGTGTGTATTCTATACGAGTTTGTTTTATTTTTTTGATTTTCCCCCCCACTTCCCCCCTATGGGGGTTTTCCCGATTTTCCATTCGTATAATCGCCTATATCTCGGAGACTATAAGACCTAAGAACACCAAATTTTAGTCCCAGATGCCTTATGTGAATACGCAGAAAATGTATATTTTGGAATTTTCCTCCCTCCCCCCTCTACCCCGCAAATCGTAACTCCCGTAATTCTTGGAATTTCGAACTAAAATTTTGCAAATACCCCCAGTTAGTTATTATGTGTCCGTATGCCAAGTTTCACTATGATAGACCGATTTAACAAGAAGTTATAGCCATAAATATATTTGCTGCTGCAGCGCTGCTCAAGCGCTGCCCGCGGCTGTTGTTGATGTTGCTGTTTGGTTGACTGCGAAAATGCTTGCACAGACACGAATAGATGCGCATAGGCATACATACACTCACACAGACGCAATTGCTATGTAAATGTGCAATTATAAACCCTTTACGTGAGTTCGAATACCGAGAGAGGTAAAATCGATCAAATTTTTTTTTTATTTTCCTAATTTTTTTTATTTTCTATAATTATTGTAAACATATGTACAGAGTATTTCAAAGTCGGGACACCCGACTTTAACTTTTTTACTTGTTTTAATTAATAAATACATATATTTTTTTGGGGGGTGGAACAGGGTATTTAAGAGTTGAGGTCGCTCGACTTTACCATTTCTTTCTTGTTCTGACAGAGTTGCCTGCTGAAATCCTTATATCGGTGCCAAGAATATACAAGGTGCGTTCGAAAGTAAACAGGACTTTTTGAATCTAGCGCCCCCTAGTGGCGCTATCTATATGCCGACTGGTACATTAAAATCTGCTATCTTTATCGATTGTCCAGTAAGAATTTCATGACATTTCATCAATTGGAAGTGAAGTTATTGCGTTTTAAGTGTCAGTATGTTTGTGTTATCGGTGCGAAAATGAGCTTCGAACAAAGAGCCAACATTCAATTTTGTTTTAAAATTGGTAAAACTTTTATCGAAACGTTTCAATTGATGGAACAAGTTTATGGCGATGATTGCCTATTCCTTATCAGAGTGCACGAGTGGTTTCAACGTTTGCAAAGTGGTCGTGAGGACATAAATGACGATCAACAAGTGGGCCAATCAAAATTCGTGATCACCGAAAATTCCATCGAAACTGTGCGTGAATTCATCAAAAATCAGCCGAAATCATCATTAAAATTGATGGAAATGGAATTGAACATCTCCAAAACATCGATTTATCGCATTTTGACCGAACATTTGGGCTTACGAAAGGTGTGTGCACGGTTTGTTCCGCACAAATTGACTGACGACCAAAAATTGCTCAGAATCGATTGACGCTTGACCAAAAATCACATTTTAACCATTATCCACTCGCCGTATTCATCTGATATGGCACCGTGCGACTTCTACCTTTTCGGAAAAATGCAATTGCCCATAAAAGGAAAGCGTTATGCAGACGTAGAGGCCATTCAAAACGGTTGCACCGGCATACTGGCGGGCATACCGGCCAACGAGCTAAAACACTCGTTCGACATGCTTTTGGAGCGTGCAAAAAGCTGTATTGAAGCAGAAGGAGACTATTTTGAATAAAATATAAAATAAAATTGATTTTGCCGAAAAAACCATTTGTTCTGTTTTTTTTAAGTCCTGTTTACCTTGGAACGCACCTTGTACTTTATAGATTCAACTCTGCCATGCCACACGTTGTAAAGACCCCGGAGATGTGGAACCCATTAGTATTCGTAGATGGGTCATAAGCTAACATTTTTGGATCTGGCGATACGTCCTACGTAGGGAGGACGCATGATTCTGAGTTTCAAGAAGAAATCCTTAACGCAACTGCTGCAGATAACGGTAGATGTGCCATGGCTTGGCCTGTATGTCGGCTACTGGTACAGAAAAGTTAGCTTTTACTGAGGGGTATGATAAATGAACGTAATTTCCTTCAGATTATAACGAGAATATCTTGAAAGTGCCAAAAATGTGGACTTACAGTCGAACTTTCGGATTTATCAAACTAATTGACCAAAAAGTAGTATAATCCGATCCAAGAGACTGTGAAACCGGCCCCAATTTGTTTCTTCGCTGGCGATGTTGTCAGACATTAATATTAGTACAATTTTATGGGGCTTCATACATAAAGACAGACGGACGGACATATCTAATTCGATTTCCCTTGTCATGCTGATCAAGAATATATACACTTTATGGGGTCGGGGATACTTCCTTCTGCCTGTTATATACTTTCCACTAACCTAATATACCCTTTTTACGCCATGGGTACAGGGTATAAAAACGACCACAACGATGCGTTAAGAACTGAATAGCCGAATATTATATTAGAAGTGACTCAAAAGTTGGTGATATTGATGCAAAAATGCATTAGAGTCGTTGTAGACTATAAGGACTTTTATTTAAAATATAATAAAAGGAAAAACCTATTGTAAATACGAAAAACTAAAAAACTACCTGCAAAAAAAAATAAGCTGTGGCATAAAAATATGCAGTATTTTTTGGTTTTTAATGTTTAAAGTATTAAATTGTCATTTATTGTTTTATAATAGTTTCGTTGTTACAGACGTCCATATAAATAAATAAATAAATATGTACTGCATAAAATGAGTGAGCCACTGTACTTCCACGCGGAGATATGTCGATTTTAGTTCGGTGGAGATATGTCCTTTTCCAGCATCATATCTCCACGCTGAGATATGTATGATTGCATTGTTTGATATTATTGCAACAAACCTACAAAATATCTGTAGAAGAGAATCAAATAAGTGTTCATCAATTATTTTTTGTATTTTCTAGTGGACACTATGGAAACACACACGGAAAATCAAATATTCTCACTTCAGGAGATTTAACGTCATTCATGTACCAAGTAGCTAAAGGAATGGATTTTCTAACATCACGCGGAGTAAGTACATATAACTGCGCATATGAACTCATGCGACGAGTGCTAATTTTCAAACAACAATTTTATTAAGACCGAAAAGGGATTCTCTTGACAAAACTAGTTTGCTTACAGAAATTCGTCAAAAGGAAAACAATTGTAGAAGACCATTGTTATATACATATAAAACTAGAAGGTCTTGCCCGTCTATGCTGGGCTCAGTATTTGTACTTACAACTATAAGTTTATTTACTATATGATATTTCTCTTCCGACACTCTCTAAAGTTCCTAAAGAGTTCATTTCCCACATAGCAAATTACTTTGGTACGATTCGAGAGCTAGGACATAAAGTACATAAAGGAGAGAATTTACTAAAAGTCTCCGAGATATAGGCGATTATACGAACGGCGCTACGGAAAAACGAAAAAACACAGTATAAAAATACTACGCAGTTTATCTTGTATTCTTTCTCAGATTAAATAAACCAAGCTTAAAGTTAATCGGATTTCTAATTTTCTAAAACCACTTCTTAGTGCTCACCCACACTTTGATAGGAAACTTGTGTCCAAATTTCTTCTTCTTATCGCTTACCATTTGGGCTGTGCGTTGCTGTACTTACATACACACCACACAGTTGAGCAAGCCCGACAGTGAAATACCCTGTACCCAGGTAAACTTCCTACAATTAGGTATATGCCTCGCTACCAGAAGGAAAAGGAAGAAGAAGAGGGAACTTAATGCTGCAGGTTGTGGGCGTAGTACCAAAGTGAAATTGTTTCGCTAATAACTTTTCTTAGAATTAACCGATTTAAATTAAATTTAAAACAAAAGTCCATAATTATAAAATTATGCAAAATGATGTGTGCACAATTTAGTTAATGTAGCTTTTGTAATGTTGACGGTTTTGACGAAATTCTGTAAAAAAATTAAATAAACTCGCTATTTTATATACATTCATATGTATATGTATGTACATACATTTTTTTTTTTTATTTCCTTTGTACTCCACTTGGGAGCTTAGGGCTACTACAAGGACATTTTTTTCCAATCTAAACACTCTAACTTCTAGCCGTCTGTCTGGCTGTGTCCCATGTGGTGTTGTTGTTTCTGGGAGAATTCCTGAAGGGTGCATCCGCCGCCAGGTTGTCGTCTTTTTTAGGTCTGCCGATCCCGTCTGCTTCCTTGGGGGTTCCAGCGCCATCCTTGACATCAGGACATCGAAGTAGTGGGAGTCCTTTTTGGATTCAGTTGTCTTGTAGTAGTTTCCATAATCATGTAGTTGTCAGTCGACCTGGTGATTGGCCAGATGCGACTTATCCCAGTGGTGGGGCTGTCACCTGTCGCCGCCGGGGAGATGCGTCTTGGGGGGTTTAACTATTGTGCAGTCCAGATAGCGTGGATGGATGTGTTTTTAGGTGGATAGATGACCACGACGTTGAAGGCTTGAGTTTAGGAGGGTTTTTCGAGAGGAGAAAATTTAGGTCATGCTCTCGCCATGAGTGGGGCTCGAACCCACGACCTCTTGTTTGGTGTGCGCATGCGCTATCCACTACGCCACCGATGTATGTACATACATACATACAAGTTAAGGTCACCCATATGATGGGTTACCTTTTAGTGTTATATTTATTTATTAAATTTCTTTGTTTTCATACTCTTTACTATTTTATTGTTTGTTGGTTTTAAGGTCATTATGTCTCATTTTGGAACCGATAGCCTACTTAGATTTACTTGAACTAGTTATGAATTCCTAGGTCGAAAATTTAAGTGTCCCTAGGTGTTCGCGTAAGAGGAGAGCGTACTGTCCGTCGGTCGTCGGCTGCCGACTTTGAATTCACCACACCGGCGACCGCCTAGCAGAGGCTTAGAATAAGTTTAGATTAGGCTTAGTTTTTAGTATTCGCACTAGACTGAAAGTGTGAAGTCAGCGCATTCGCGCCCCCAAATCGACTTAAGTGAATTTGTGAAGTTTTTAGTGAAACAATAAACAACACCAACACCAATCAACCGTCTTACGAATTTGGTACCGACCGGCGTCCACCCCCCTACATTTTCATTGGTCCTCCGAGCCGGATTTCATCTGCTGCACCTCCAACCATCATCCTCGTCTTGTGCTGCTTTGAAGTCCCCCCAGCTAGCATCGGTGGATTTAAGTGTTAAGTACCATCTGTAAATTATCCATTTACTATTGCTAAACCGCACTGTCCAAGCGCGTTCCGAAAAAAAAGCAATTTACAAGTGCAAGTGCCAGTGCAACCGAAAGAAAGGAAAAATTGTAGCGGCTTATATGTAGCTTATGTACATATCTTACTCAAGTATACATATGTACATATAGATATATAAGTCGCCATACTGTTTTTCCCGCCTTTGAGAGAGAGACTCCCACGAACTTCGAATTTCCAATTCAAACTCGGCCGTGTTGTAAGGTCCAAAGGTCTTAAGTGTCAAACGTGTATAAGCGAACATATTGTGTTGTGCCTCAAACCCAACTGTGCCAACATATGAGTGTTAATAAGTGCACAATTCACATAGGCATTTATTAATATTCAATTCCACACATAATTTGCCTATACACGCTTAAGTTAAGACACTACACACGGAGCGCCTAGTATTATTTATATTTCTCTCTTTCATTTATCCAACCCGCGCACTGCACTGGTACAATTTCCGCAAATAAACCAACTTATTTATTTACCTCCGCATTATTATATTGCATATAAGTTTTTTCCCAAATCTTTAGCAACATTATTATTCACACAGCAACATACATACATACATATATGTACATACATATTTTTTGGGCTTTTGTCGTTTGTGTTGTTTGCTAAACTTTCCAGCGCTTAAGATAAGCCGGCTCCTCGGCTCATCAATATTTTCACCACGCCTTCGCTCTTCGGCCGTTATTAGCGCTCTCTGGCGCTCACACCCACACACATACCCACACAAAAACGTCTCGCTGCAGCAGTGCATTGGCAGCGTCAGTTTGAGCGCAGCTGAAACAATAAGCGTGTAGACTGACCGCCAGCTGTTCCTCTTCGCAGCGTTTATGCATGCGCATACCCTATACGGACCGGGTGTTGCGATTTTTATGTATGCTCCTGCCCTTGCAATTTTTTTTTGAAAAAAAATATTTTTTCGTTTTTGTGAATTCCTCAACTAATTGCGTTCTGTGGCCCACATATACATATATTTGGACATCATCGTTGGATTTTTTTCGGCACTTGGGCAAAATTTATATTTTATTACATTTAATTTTGGGTCCAATACCAACCGTAGCGCCGCCCAACATAGTCAGTCCAAGTCCGTTTTTCAACGTTTACTATGCCAGCAGGGGATCAGGCTAAGGCTTCAGAGCAACAGAACATAGCCGATCCACCTTCCACGCCAGCGCTAGCTACTTTAAGCGTTCCATCCGCCTCAACATCAAGGGCCAGTCCCACTCAGCCGCTCGCATCAAGCGCGAATTCCAAGGCTTCTGTTTCCGAAGCCAAGACTGCTCCTACTGAGAAAAAAAGGACAAGGTCCGTATCTCAGGAGTCTAGATCGACCAGCCAAATGTCGCTCAATGCCTTCCTCCTCGTGAGCGACAGATTAAGCGCTTTCGAGGCTACGATGTCCGCCGCCTCAATATGCGAGTCATCCCTGTATATCCTCAATACCCGCCGAGACCAAGTCAAGTCGTTATGGGCACAAGTAGAACAGGAGTGTGATCAATGCACAAGATCACTAAGTGCGTTGGCCACTGAAGAGAGCAGGCATGATCTTGCAGTAGTCCTGAAGAAGTACGAGCACTGCTATCTGATTTATGAAAGGTGTGCCGCCAAGCTCAGCGAGAGCATTGACAGCCTTTCTGCCGCCAGTAAGCCACCTAGCCAGCCCTTGCTGTCACCTCATCTTGCGACCAGCAACAGAGGCTGCTCACTCCCTCCGGTCGACATTGAAGTTTTCAGTGGCGATCCTTTACGGTGGCCTACTTTCCGTGATTTGTTCACTGCGGTTTTTATTAGTAATCCGAGGCTCACTCCCATTGAGAAACTCTTCCATCTCAATGCCAAAACTGCTGGAGAAGCAAAATCCATTGTTGCTAAGTCCCCGCTCACACATGACGGCTTTGAGTCCGCTTGGGAGAATTTAAAAGAGCATTTTGAGAATAAAAGATTGTTGGTTAATAGCCAGCTCAAACTTTTGTTCGGCCTTTCCACAATCGGCCAAGAGTCTGGAGCAGCTGTCAAAGGCCTTCAAAGCACCATTCAAGGGTGTCTTACTGCTCTGGAACATTCCAAGGTAAAAACCGAAAACTGGGACCCTATTTTGTGTTTTTTCTGCGAGCGCAAGCTTCCCAAGGTCACCCGAGGCCTGTGGGAGCAATCCTTAAAAAGTAAAACGGAAATTCCAAAATGGGCGGATCTCAACACGTTTTTGGTTGAACGCTACCGTACCCTTGAGGCAATGGACGACGAGAGGTCGGCGTCCAGTTTTCAGGACCAAAGCCATTCCAAGCCTCAGAGAAGGGACGGGCCGCCTAAGAAACTCAATTCATTCGAGGCAAAGATTAGCGTGAAACCACCTCCATCCAACAAGGCCAAGCCACAGGCATGCAACATATGTTCCAAGGAGAACCATGCCATCCGAATGTGCCCTCGTTTTCTGGCAATGTCCATCACAGACCGGATTGCCTGCATCAAGCACAACAAACTGTGTCTAAATTGTTTTGCGAGAGGACATCAACTACGAGAGTGTAGTAGTGTGCACACCTGTTTTACGTGTAAGGGGCGACATCACACTCTACTTCATCGTGCCTCCCCTTCGTCTGTTGTGGCATCCAGTGTTCCTCCGGCTGCTCAGTCCTCCACTCCACAAATACAGTCCACATCCGATAGCGAAGCAAGGGTTCATACTTATTTTGTTGCCAGTTCCCAAAATGTCCTGCTGGGCACCGCCTTAGTTGACATTGGTCATTTGGGTACAAATTACACAGCGCGAGCCCTGGTCGATTCCGGATCAGAGGCTACATTTATTTCCG